TTGTTTGAGGGTGGCTGTAAAGGGCCTTAAACCAAGTTTCAACCTAGTGTTTATCAGGTGGGTGAGTGGAAAAGTAGAGCTGCGCTGGAGGTGGCCTGAGCTTGTTGCCCAGCATGCACCCCTGTGTGGCACCCATGCTAGCCCAGCAACAAGACTGCACTTTGTAACTTCCAGATGGGAAACGGAGACAGAGCCAGAGTCTTGAGGCCACACAGAACCTAGCACATAACACTATGTCCAGCTGTTGTCCCAGTATCTGTCCCTGGGTCTTCTCCTCAGTCATGTCCACCACTCTTTGCATTGCAAACTCAATCACTGGTGAAGTTCCTGGAGTCCTGGCACGTGAGCACAATGGGGTTAGAGGAAACTTATTCTAGGCCCTCAGCACCACAGGTGTGGCATGGTGCGGGGAGGTTGCCCAGACATCTTCAGACATGCAGAAATCAACCTTAGAGAGGTAAATGCCTGTTCAAACGTGGTTGGTTATCTGCATGCCTAAAGCAAACCCTGGAAAGATGGAAAGATGTTAGCGATTCTGTCCGTATGTGTCTCCCTACTTTCTCCACTTTGTAAAAGAAAGAGCCGAACAGCAAGAACTACGGACCTAATGCATAACACACTTCATCATTGATCCCCTTGCTCCCTGCTGCCCCCTCCACACCTGTGTAAGCCAAATTCCTTTACGTGGTCATGGCAAAGGATTAGTATTAGTATTTTTCTTTGAGTTGTGATTAAAAGAAGCACAATCAGAAGAGTGAAATGGTTTCCACGGATGCAAGAACATTTTAAACTCAGTAATGGCTGGTGAGGGAGATCATGGTCTGTGAGTTTAGCTGTGGGTTCTAATCCCGACTGTGTCTCTTACAAACTGTGACACTGTGCTGTCATTGTGTAATCTGGGTCCTTCCCCTAGACTGTAATAAACACTGAAGACGCCTACTTAACATGCAGCACAGGACTTGTAGGTGGAGCGCCTGGCCTCTGCTCATCTTGAGAGCCTAGCCCGTGGTGGGCACTCAGTAACCAACAGCACGGCTTCTCTGCAGGAAAAAGGACCTCACGTTGTCAGCCCATGCATGTTTTACTCTCTCTTGATGGTGCTCTTGGCCCCTTGTGTGTGGCCGTGCTTGGTTCTAACCCCCGGACTTTGGAATTCTCCCACCACCTGGTGTGGTGGTGTCTTGTGAAAGGAGCAGCGATCTTGCTTCCTGTTGTGCAGTCTTACTTTATTAAGTTGTGTGTTAGCTTCTCTTACTGCAGTATAACCCAAGGTGTGCAAAGGAAAGGTTTCTTTTGGTTAGCAGTCTTTGAGAGCAGTACATGGCTGTTGCTTTATGTGAGGTAGGGTAGCACGTCATGGACGACATCGTAGTGGAGCAAAGTCACTCACACTATGGCCAGAAGACACAAAGGACAGGAGAAAGCAGGCAGGGAGGAGTCCTGCAGTCCTTTCACAAGGCACCACCAGTGGCCTTAACTTCCCTAGTCACCACTGCCTCTTAATAGTGCTACTAAGGACTAAGCTTTTACCATGTGGGTCTTAAAGGAACATTAAGGTCCAAAAGACAGCAGACAGTTCTACTCCTGTTGACTCTTTTGGCACAGGAGCAGAGGCGGTACTTGACTTGGCCTTGGCCCAGGGAGTGAGTCTGTTCTTGCTGGTCCCTCAATCAACCCCCCTGAGAACTTTTCTCATTCAGCAAGTTTTACACTGGAACAAATGAAGTCTTTTTCAAGTGAACTACCAGGTTCAAGGTCTGTAAGCCAACAATAGGAGCTGAACCAGGAGTAGGCCTGTTTGGGCCCGTCTGGGGTGAGGCATTGGAGGGCCGCTTTCTGTTCAGTGCATGCCTACCTGCTGGCTTCACTTGCTCTGATTCACCTTGGGAATGGGACTTGAGCGAATCAGAAGCACTGGACAGTGACCTGCTGGGCCGGGTGTGGGCACTGACACTATGAATGAATTGGGAACCTGTGCTTGCCTTACCACCCTGAGTGCTGAACAGCCTGGAGCAACTCGGAGGGCAGTGTTAATCCTCAGCCAGGGCTGTCTGCTCATGAGGGTGCACTTGTGACCTTTCTCCCACCCTTGGAGTGGGGCATTTCTCAGGCCTTGGTTAGTCTATGGGGCTTGAGTTAAGCAGGCCTCAAGATCTGGAAGTTCTTTCACCAGAAAAAGGAAACAGCAGGGGAGTATTTAATTCACAGACTTTGACACATTCGTTAAAGATTTGCTTCCAAGACTTCTTGCCCCCTTCTTTGCTTGTGAGTTAGCTGAGGTGTGATTTTCTAACAAATGAATATTAAATAGCAAATTCTTTACTAGAGTGGCCTCTTTCAGCTAGAGGAGCTCTGTTACCATCTCAGGAGAAAAGCTGTTTCAGAAGAGGAGTAGGCTAGGAACATACTTTGAGTCGTTTCCTTTATTTTCTTGATTTAATTAATGAGCACTCTAAGTTTGGGGCTCATTTTAAAGAGTTTTAGAGTCACAGAGGCACCAAGGGTAGGCTGGCAGTTGGAAGTGCAGTTAGTCGTGGTGCTGTGGTTTGGGGTCCAGGCCCTAAAGGCCCATGCTTGATCCTCGGCCAGTGCACTCTTGGGAGGTGGTAGGATATTTAGAAGATGGGACTTAGTAGAAATTAGGTTATTTTGGGCATACCTTCAGGGGATGTTGGGATGCAGCCCCCCCACCCTTTTCTTTGTCTTGGTTTCCTAGCTGCCCTGACATATACTCTGATGTTCTGCTGTGTGCTCTTGCGTGATATGCTGCCTTCCGTGGGCCAAGGGACAGTCAGTGACACACTGAAGCCTGGAACTGACTCAAAGACACCTTTCTTCCTCATCAGCTGATTTATCTCAGGAATTTTTACAGTAATGGAAAGCTGATTTTTGGACATTGACTCAAAGATTCAAAAATGAGCGAGTCAGTTTACTCTTTAAACTTCAGTTTTCTTATCTCGTAGGTGAGGAAAATAATTGTATTTTCTTTACGGATCTGTTAGGGTTTATCTATCAAAAAAATGCAAGCAAAATAAGACAATGGTGGTGGTATATGTCTTTAATCTCAGCACTTAGGAGGCAGAGGCAGGCAGAGGTCTGTGAGTTTGAGGCCAGTCTTGTTTATAGAGTGAGTTCCAGGCCAGCCAGTGCTACACAGTGAGATCATATATTAATAAATAAATAAATAAATAAATAAGAAGAAATACAAGAAAAATACTAGTGTACTTTTAGGCATAGTACTTCCATAATCATAGTTCTATAATCATTAGCTACTGCGCATAGGTTAAAATCAAGACTTTTCATGGAATGTAGGTGGAAGTCAAGCTGTAAACAAATGGGGCTTGGTAATTTTTAAGAATTCAGAGGGGGTCTGGAGAGATGGCTCATTGGTTAAGAGCACTGGCTGCTCTTACAGAGGACCCAGGTTTAGTTCCCAGCACCCACATGGTGGCTAACAACTGTCTATAACTCCAGTTCTAGGGGATCTGACGCCCTCTTCTGACCTCTGTGAGTATTCCACAACATGGGTGCACTTACATACATGCAGTCCAGTTCTAGGATCTGACGCCCTCTTCTGACCTCTGTGAGTATTCCACAACATGGGTGCACTTACATACATGCAGGCAATACACATACACAAAATAAAAATAATAAATAAACTATTTTAAAAAGAAGAATTAAGAGGATGTGCAGAGTATTCAGTGACTGGCATCTGGAAGATGATTTCCAGTGTCTCAATGTCTGGAGTTGGTCAGTTCCCAGGAGGGATCCCCATTATGTGCTGTTGGGTTTCTTCAGTCAGTGGGCCCTGTATGGCTGTCACTGAAGGATCTGGTGTGGTTCAAAATAATGTTCGGGGCTGGGATGTGGCTCAATGAAGAGTTTGTGCCTGGTGAGCGAGCTTGTCAGAGGGACCCTGGGTTCCCGGTAGTGTATATACCCAGAATCTTTGAAGACAATGCAAAGCGGAGACAGAGCCAACAGGTAGTTGTTTTTCCTTCCTTCTGGTGTTGAGAACAGAAATAGCTCTTACACGGTATTCACTTTGAAGAGAGATCCTCACTTAAGACGTGTTCATCAGACTTCAGCAGGACTCACTCTGAGCTGTTAGGGAGTCAAAGCAGTGTTTAATTCTGGGAGGGTGTCTTCAGTTCACAAGGCCTCAGTGGTGTCTGCTCATGGCTGATTGATCAGTGGGCAGAGCATTTCGCAGTACTGCTGTCTGACTGTCCTAGAGATGTAGCCATAGTAATTCTGACTTTGCCTGTGCTGGAGTTAGATGTTGATGCTCAGCAATTTGAAGTGCTCTCCAAATTTACCTTGCTGAGTTTGCATATACATTCTGTCTGCCTTGTTTTAGATGGTGTAAGAAATTCCTCTTTTTTTTTAAAGTTCTTTTTTCTTTAGATATTTGGAACTATAACATTATATAGATTAAATTGCAATATATGACCTATCTTCTCTTTAAAAGTTGTTTTTATTGGTCAAGAGTGGATACTGTGACATTTTCACTCATGAATAACATTGTGCGTTGCTCACTGTCACCACAGCAGTCATATTCATACATCCCAGTATGCTCTTCTTCCCTTCTTTCCCCTTGTTCCCCCTTCTCGCCTGCTCCCCACCACTGTCTCTCTCTCTCTCTCTCTCACACACACACACACACACACACACACACACACACACACACACAATCAAATCTACATTGTGCACATGAGAGAAAACATGGCAATATTTATCTTTCCAAGTCTGACTTACTTTGTTTAACATGATGAAAACTTGAAAATGGGTTTCTCATGGCACCCCGTGACATCTCCTGGGGTGCGGGAGCCCAGTGACACGGTGGTGAGCAGAGATCCTGGCTGTCGCTGTGACGCTCCTCGCTGTGTGCCCTTCACGGGCCTTGACAGCTATAAGACCGAGGTGTTGTTTCAGGTGGAAAACTGAGATCTAAATGCCTTCTCTCCCCACCCCTTCTCTCTTCCTACCTTGTCACCTAGCACTGAGGATGAAGATCAAGGAAGTGAAGAAGGAGAACGGTGACAAGAAGATTGTCCCCAAGAAGAAGAAGCCCCTGAAGTTGGGGCCCATCAAGAAGAAGGAGCTGAAGCGGCTCGTGCTGTTCCTGAAGAATGGTGCCGACTGCCCCTGCCACCAGCTGGACAATCTCAGCCACCACTTCCTCATCATGGGCCGCAAGGTGAAGAGCCAGTACCTGTTGACGGCCATTCACAAGTGGGACAAGAAAAACAGGGAGTTCAAAAACTTCATGAAGAAGATGAAGACTCACGAGTGCCCCACTTTCCAGTCTGTCTTTAAGTGACCCTGGGGCGGGTTGGAAGGGAGTGTGGGCCGGGTGACGGTGGGAAGAGTGAATGACTCTGGTTCTTGGGGTTCACACACTGCACCTGCCCATCACAGTTGTGGCCTTGGAACTCTAGCTGGATCTGTTCCACAGATTCCCACCCCTCTCCCTTCCCAGCACGCTCAGACCCCAGCATAGCCACATCCAGATGTGTCCAGGGCCCTTTAGATTAGGAAGGCTTTTAAGGGCTGCAGCGGGGCCAGCAGTCACTGTAAAAGGAGGGAAGAATCCTTTCACCTAGTCTCAGGAGCAAAAACGAAAATGTTTGCCAGTTTTAAAAAAAGGATTGGGCCGAAAGTGCCAGAGGGTAGCAAAGTTGTGCATCGTTAGGCTGAGCATCCTCACGCAGGCTGCGGACAGTTTCTTTGGCTAATCCAAGCCTTTGCAGGTAGAAAATTTCGACTATTGGCACATCATGTCACTTTCTGTTCCGTGTGCTAACTCTGCGTTACACAGAAACAGACACCCTCTCCTCTCCCCTACATCAACTCTCAAAGTAACCTTGGCAGGAGGGAGCACAGTGCAGTGGGACAGAAAGGGGCTGGACAGGAGGCCGCTGTCTGTGCTGCCCTGGGCAGAATTGTTGGGCTCGGGTGCCCCGTTAAGTGGCCATTTCCAGAAATCAGTCCCTCTGGATACAAGAATGGCACAGGCCTGTTTTCTTGTGGGGAAGAGGAGCACAGTGAGCACAAGAAGACATGAGCTTCCAGCTGAGAGGGGAGTGGGTAGTGGTTTTCAAAACAGTGAAAGAGAAAAAACAGCCCAGCAGATGACTAGTCAGAGTGAATTGTGAAATTCGGTGAAGAGCTGCACGTTCTAATTTCGCCTCTCAGTTCATTTCACATTTGCGAAAGAACAGCAGCAACACAAACAATGGCCAGACCCCAGTCGCTTTTCAGGGCTTGGGGAACAGTCCACACTGAGCATTTGGAAGATGAACCTAGACCAAAGTCTTGGACCTGCCCAAGGCTTGCCTCTTAATGAGCACCCTCTGCGCACCCGGCGCAACCACGGAGGCTGAGAGCATCCAGAGAGGTGCCCGGGCTCTGCTTTTCTGCAAGGGAACATTCCTTTAAACATGATTGCGTATAGTTCAAAGAAATTCAGAACAGTTGCCTGCCTGGCCACTCCACTTTGACTTTTGTACTCCACCCCCCAGTGTTTTCAGAGGCTGAATGTCCCCATCCAAGGAGCCGGTTTCAAAGGCAAGCCTTCTGTTTTCTTCCCAAGGGCCTGATGATATGTTATGCTTAATAAGTGATGTAAATAAACCAGTTCTTCTAGGCAGCATTACTTTTGTTCAACTAGATGAAGTAGTTCTAGAAAATGAATGTTAATTTCTTCCACCAAAGTTTGATTCTTCCCTACCACATCTCAAGGGCCATAGTGGCTGTCCCTCTTGCATACCCAGTCAGGGGCACCAGAGAGTGTGAGCAGTTGCCCAGTGGCCCTGGACGGCACAGAAACAGTGGAAGATTCTGTTAACTTCTGGAAGACTCCAACCTGAAAATCAGCATGCCAATCTAGTTACCTCCCACAGTGGGATTTTTGACCTAAATAACTTCTCACGATTAATAATCTCATTATCTTAACACCTTTAAAAATTCTCTCTCACCTTTAATTATAAAGTATTAGGGACCTTAAATGATTTGCCTGTAATTTTGGATGATTTTAAAATGTGTCTGTATATTAGTAATCAGAAGCATCTTCCTTTCCCATTGTCCAACAGAATTTCAGAGCAACTTCATGCTGTGTAGAGCTGGGTCTTTGGTCTCAAGTTCAGTGCTCATGGGTGTCTGCTCATTTGGGCAAGGTGTGCAATGCAGTAGGTCCCTCTCCATGTGGCAGGGGGCTTTCTAGATGGGTTTTTCTGGGGTGTTAGCAGTTCCACAGAAAGAAAACCAGGGAGCTATGCTGGACACCTCTGTGAGTAGGACTCCCCAGGTAGGAGGCAACACTTTCACAAAGGATTCACAATAATATTGTCGTGTGAGAGGCAGCTGCTGTTTTCTCCCATTCCAGAGTCCCTCCCTGGCTTTGGAGTTCCACTGTGTTAATTCAGTAAGGACTTTAGACAAGCACATACCAATTTTGTCTACACCACATCAGCAGTTCAGGACAAAGGGGAGACTATCCATGAACCCAAAGCTGCATGATCACTAAGCTTTGTTCTCAACAAAAGGTATAACAAATCAATGTGCAGACTCATTGGCTTAGTCATTGGCTTCCAAAAGAGAAGGTCCATAAGCATTCTGGTCACCTTTGCTAATGCAAAGGTCAGATTCGGAACGCTCTACAGTAGTCATTCTGGAGAGTCTGAGGAGGCCAAACTCAACTAACCATTTGTAGAGGATCAGTAGTTGTCTTAGAAGACAGATGGGAGATAAGAATTCTAAGACCATTTTACTTAAAAAAAAAAAAAACCCTGTATAACCCTTGGCCCCCAGGATTGGTGGGTTAGCCCCAAGTTCTCCCCAAGGCAGTGTCTAATCAGAGCTCCAGGTTTCTTTTGAATTCGTAAATTACAGAAACTCCATTTCCCAAACCTAGAACCTGTTTTTCTCATTAGATTCCATGTAACTAATTGCTCTGTTGCATCTTCACAGAGCTGGAGGGGTTCAAGACATTTCAGAGTCATAGGCCACTTTGTGATCAGCATGTGGCCTCTCTGACCTCTCCTAAGGATGTACATGGGATTCCTGTTGGTCCTAGTTCCTTTATGGCATCTCCTCTGTTAGAGTCTAAAACTTTTTAAAAAGCTTTGGATACTGTGAAGATGTTTTACATTCCATTTTATTTGTGTCGCTTTTTAACATTTGCCCAGATGTTTTGATGTCATCACTTATGTTAATAGTAATTCCCACATGTGTTCTGTTTCTGTGCTTTTCCCGCAGTGTATTCACTTGACTAAAATCACTCGATCAATCATAGTGTGAATTGTGACTCACCCCAATCCCCATCGCACGGTACTCACCCTCGTCCACTGCACACATTCCCTAGAGTGGTTTCAGTGGTGTTTTCTGGTCCCAGTGCAACAGCTTCCAAGTAGTAGGTGGGTGTGGTGGGGTGAAGGAGACCTGAGGACCAGGGGCTAACAGCCGGTGATGTTTGTCTGGTGGGATGAATTTCAGCTCAGGGAATAGGTTTAATACTTGTTCTACAAAATGTCAGCCCTGCCAAAATTTATGTTCTGTTTTTGGCTTCAGACACTCTTCCCCACTGGTTCAGTTCAGTCTTCAGATTTCCAGTTAGGACTTCAGCATGGTTTGAATCTGGAGCTGTGTAGGAAACCTCAGACAAAATGGGGTTTATCATTCTTTGAAGATGAAGAATCCAAGATGTGACGTGGCCGGAACTTCCAGGGGGACTTTGGGTCACTGAAATGGCTGAAATTAGAACCCGTAGGCACAGGATCCGAATTACCTGCTGGGCCTTCCCTGGATCCCGAGTGCACACTTTGCTGAGCCCAAGCTCTTTCCTTTCAGGTTACAGGTTTCTTGCTAAAGAATTTTCCCACAGGACTTTTTTTTTTTTTTTTTTTTTTTTTGGTCTTTTTGAGACAGGGTCTCCCTGTAGCCCCAGCTTTCCTGGAACTCACTATGTAGACCAGGCTGGCCTTGAACTCACAAAGATCCGCCTGCCTCTGCCTCCGGAGTGCTGGGATTAAAGGTGTGCGCCACCACGTCCGGCACCCACAGGGCTTTTAATGTAAGCCATTTTACTGCTAACTCCATTAGATGGTGTACTCCGTGATTAAAAGGACCTCCACATGGAGACAACTATCAGTTTTTCTTCACTTATCCCCAAAGCAATCAAAACTGCACCGAAACACAGAGACACCATTTTTCTTTTCTTTTCTTTTCTTCTTCTTTTTTTTTTTTTTTTGGCAAAACAATGAAGACTTGCAAAATTCTATTAAAGTCATGAGCAGGCATGGAAAGATTCTCATGTACTCATATACTTGACTGGTGAAATGGTGAAATTCTAGCCCAGCCAAGCAGAAATAGTGGCATTTCCTTTAGTTGCCCTGTAGTTTAAAGAGAACTTCCTTTAGGCTGGGTCCCCCCACTGAAGCCCTACCACCATGCTCCGTAATGTCTCACAACTTTTTAGCCCTCCTTCTAACGAGTTGATGGCAGGAATTAATAGGCGTGCTCCAGTTCTGGGGTTGCCTTGAAGTTCGGGATGCTCCAGGGCCGTAATCGCTTGAGCCTTGTGCTTAGGGATGTTGGGAAGTGCAAGAGCCACACACTCCCCTCACTCTGTGCAGCACTCACCTGTGTTCAAGGAGCTATCTGGGCCCCTACCAAAGAGCTCCAAGAGACAGGTCCAAGTTAGATTGTTTGCGCCATCTTCTGACATAGGCCCCACAAGTGCCAACAAACTCACATTTGCTTCTGAGGATGAGAAATGGGGCCAATCATCCAATGACAGTTGCAGGAGAGAAGGACACTCTTCAGTTTCAGCATGCATGGTGTCCACAGAGATGCCTGCCCACAGTTGGTTCCTGGCTTCCACTCCCAAGTTAGGAAGGGTAGCCATGCGGCCCTACTGTGACACATGCTTAGGACACACAGGAAGCAGAGAAGAGTCTTAACAGGAAGGGGCCAGGGCAAGAATTGACCACCAAGGACATTGCCCCAGGGACCGTCCTCTTCCAACCAGGCCCCACTTTCCCGTTTCCCTCCCCATAGTTTATTCAAATTTTGAGTTCTCAGTGGATTGAACATCCATTAGGTTGTGATTAGATCATATTTTTCATAGGCACTTTTCAGTCAAATTGAATTGACAGCCAAGCTAATTCTCATGCACTAGATGCAGAACTTGTAAGTGATGCACTTGCTATTTGAGAGAACATTCTAACAGGACAAACGTGGCTTGGGGACTCCAGAGGCAGGTGGCTGTGTTGCTGTCTTTTCCGCATGTTATGACAACTTTTCCTGAGATTTCTGTGGGTTATTCTCACTAGGTAGTAGAAGTAGTGCACATAGGAAAGGAATGAGACTACCTTTCTTTAACAGTTGGGTGCATTGGCCCTCCAAAGAGTACTTCTCAGAGGAATTAAGCATGAGTCAAATAGGAATACGTGTAACTCCTGATTCTTTAGACCCACGGTGGGGTGCTGCTGTGTTTCTAGAAGGAGCACCTGCTTCTAAGGGCAGTGGGAAGTGTGGTTTGCATCCGCAGGACACTCTGAGCAGGGAAGCTCTTAGGCGTCTCATACCGTCCTTGCCCTCTGTTGGAACGCTGTCATCTTGGGAATCCTCGTACAGAAGCCGTCTCCTAGGTACTCAAAATAGGAACCATACTTTGGGTTAAGAAAATCAACTGGAGTCAGAGCTGATCATAAACGCAGATTAGCTGGGACTGATCTTTTAATTTTATGTTTACTGAGTGTATTGCCTGCATGTATGTAAGTGCACCCGTGTCATGCAGTGCCTGAGGAGGACAGAAGAGGGTGTCAGATCCCCTGGAACTGGAGTTGTGGATGGTTGTTATCGACATGTGGGTGCTGGGAACCAAACCCAGGTCCTCTGTAAGAACAGTCAGTGCTCTTAGCCGCTGAGCCATCTCTCCAGCCCCGCTGGGGCTAATCTTAAATCATTTATTACATTAAAAAATCGTAACACTGAGGATCAAACTCAGGGCCTTCCATATTCCAAGCTAGGGCCTTACCACCGAGCCACAGCCAGGCTTCCAGTCCTAGAGTGCTTTTCCTTCAGGGTGGACTCTTTACTTCCTCTGGACACTCACACCCTTTGTTATCCCCTTGGTACTCTATTAGCATTTGAAGCTGTGTCTTTCAGAGCCCTGGTTTCTCCTCCACAGGGACTGTGGGAGTTAACTAATCAAAGGTGCTACCTGGACAGCTGAAGTAATACAGGAAGTTGCCCTCAGAATTGGGACTTTTCATGTTCCATTTGTTCACATCTGGGCAGTTTCAAACTCTGGTTTGGGGAGGAGCGAGAAGGGAGGGGTGACTGAAGGCTTTGGAGGGGAAATCCCACCTCTGACAAATGGAGGATGGCCTGCCAAGCAGGGCTGATTTATTAGGGGACAGGTATTAGAATTTCTGTCGGCAAAGGCCATGGAAGGCTGCTTTTGTAGGTTTGGAGAAGATAGGTCCCAGAGCAAGCTCTGAATAGGACCAGAAAGCTCCAATGTCTTCATACATCTGTGCACTATTTAGATAAGAAGGGGCTGTACTTAATCATGGAGAGACTTGTTTGCTTAAATAGAGGGAGGGAAGGTTGCATGTGTGTATTTGAGAGAAAGGAGGTGGGAAGGAGGAGAAAGGAGCCAGAAATTTTGTACAACTGACTACCCCCCGCCACATGGTTTTAATTAGGATGACCTTCCCATCACCAGAGAGACAAAATGAGCTGGTCAGGGTGTCAGGGAAGGGTCAGAATTCACATGGCCCTGTCCTTGAAATTTCAGCTGTGCTCTGCTGTGGGTAGCTCTGAGCTCCAGGAACAGTTCTTACTCTCCTCCTTCCCTGGAGCGTCTGAGTCAAGGGCCCTAGGGCCCTAGGGCCTGCTCCTTCAGGAAACCTGTTTATTGAATGTCAGGTGGGACCCAGGGCCACAGCTTCTCTGAGAAGCCCTAGGTGACAGACTTACAGAATAAAATAATCAAAACTTAGAGCTGCACATTTGATTTCCTTCCAAGAGAATTAGAAGGAACAGAAGATCCCACTGAGACACGAATGCATGGTGTCATCTCTGCTGCACACTTTAACGATGCACACTGAGACCCACTGTCACTATTCAAACTTATGGGCCGCTGTTCCATTTTGCTGCCTGATTCTCTTAAGACGCTATGCAAGTATGGGTAAATTTTACCTCTTTGCCTGAATGCTAAGCTCATCATCTGAAGGGGTGAAGGAGAGACTATGCCAAAACCCAAGGGGGCTGTTTCACAATGTAACCCAGAGGCCAGCAAGGTGGTTGTCACGTAGCACATGGGATTCCTCGGGGGTATGGACTCTCCCAAGGCCAGCATCTGAGGGAACCCAGCTGGGCCCCTAGTCTCAGCAGAGTGTGCAATGGTTTCTAGCCACAGCACCTTCTGGCATTAGCAAATCAGCTCTAGATGTGAGCCTGGCTTTGGGGAGGTCCTAAGGCTCCTGAGGAGGAGGAGGAGGAACAGGAGGGAGGAGGCAGCCAGATGATGGTGAGAGAAAACACAAGCACCAGTCTGCAGTTGAGGCTAGCACAAAGCCTTCTTAGCACTGTCCCTCATGTGCTATCCTCTGAAGTACCCCATGCTGCCTTCTCCCCACAGAGCTAGGACTGATAGCTGTGAGTGGTATGGACGAGAGATATGGGGAAGCATGATATCCTGTGACAGAGTCTAATAGGGGCAGGTTGGGTGTACATTAGGTCCTCACGCTTTTATTTATTCCTGTTAACTGATTGGAGGGAAGTAACTTGTCTTTCTAGCCGAAGAACTAGCACCAGCTTGCTTGTGCCATCCTCGACTCCCGGTGAAGGAAAAGGATGACTTGTTTGCTCCAGTTAGTCTGACTCCCAGTAAAACCTTTCCTTTCTGGACTGTCTTCACTGTGACCATCTGAGTAGAGGACAGAGCTCTGTCCTGCTTAATCTGTCTTCCCTAACCGGCACGTTTCCATAGTCCTCAGGCTATGTCTCAGCAGGTCCAGACTCCCTCCTCCCTGTGTGGCAGAAGGGTATTTGTGCAGAGAAGTGGATGTAGCTGCAGGGGAGAGATTCAGTTTC